AAAAAAAAAATCGGGGGGTTTTGCACATACATGTCGCCAATTTGTTCCAGTAATGATCAGTCTGTACGAACGGAAGCTTATTTCCGCCTGTGTGCGACACATGAATACTGTTACTCACTGACTTATTTGCCCTCTTATGATCCTGTCAAAAGCACCTGACGCGAGCCACGTTTCCCCGCATAGAAAACGACACGGAGCGCATTGCTGAGGGAAAACTATCAATCACAATCCATTCTCTTAAACCCGAATATGGATGTCCGGACATCACTGGCTACTGGTATTGAACCTAAATTAACAATGGAAATGTTGAGCGGAAGTAGATATAGAGTTTACTCACATTGTAGCTAAGTATTTCTTTCCTTTAATTAAATCTATAAATAAATAAAAGGTTGGGTTGCAGTTCACCAAAACTGAAAGGGACGACGCGATATCTCAGAAAACTGCTTCACACCAGAGCTATTTTTATCTCAGGTGATTTGCCAAGTGTTACACACGCCGCCCTCTTCGTCGTAAACCAACAATACTATACAGACTGACACAGTGTATTCAGATAGACCTAGAAAAAAAAAGCCTCAATGATGCAAGACATGAAGGAAAAGAGAGAAGGAGGAAGGGGTGTTGTGTAGAAGAAAGAAGTAGGATATACTAAGATTTGTAGAGCAGTAGAAAAGGTAGAATAACTGGAAAGGCATATCCCTCTTTTTTGAATTTTGATTTTTTTTTTTCCTGCGGCATTTACAGCATAACTAATCCAGTTTATACAGTTTAGAACTACTGAGAATCTTCTTCTTCTTCTTTTTCCGGCTGCTCCCTTTAGGGGTCGCCACAGCGAATCACCTGCCTGTATCTCACCCCATCACCAGCATCCTCCTCTGTCACACTAACCCTCTCCCTCCTTCACTACATCCATCAGTCTCCTCGGTGGTCTTCCTCTCTTCTTCTTCCTTACATGGCACCTCCATCTTCGACACTTGTTGTCCAGCATATCCACCATCCCTCCTCCGGACGTGCCAAAACTACCCCAGCCTTGCCTCTCCAACTTTGCCTGATAATTTATAACCTTTGGAAACTAAACAAGTAAACATTCATTTATATTTCATCAGAGCTTTCCCGCGCTTTTTGTCATCTCGTTTTCGTGCACGACAGTGTAGTAACGCAGTTCTGTGACATCGCAGGCGCAGTGTAGGTGTCTAAACTCAATTAGAGAGAGAAGGGTTAAAGAAAGAGAGAGCACGTGGAGAGAGAGAGCGAGCCCATATGGTCTCGTGACGTAACGACGGACGCTCGAGCCTCTGCTTGTGTGTGTTTATGTGTGTGCGTGTGCGCGCGCGCTCGGCTTAGAATCCGGAACGGCACCCTAATAATACTCGTTAGTTGAACACACTGTCGCCGCCGCGTGCTTACAGTAATTAAACAACAACAAAAACAACAATGAACGCCGTGACCGCCGCGTCCTGCCTGCTCGTCGCCGGCTTCAGCTTCTACCTCTACGGCAGCGACGTGTTGTCATCGCTGCTCCGTGTCTCTGTTACAGACTCCTCCATGCCCGAGCCGGGAGCTGCTCCGCGGCGAAGTCCGCAGGGAGTCCCCTACTCTGACCTGCCGCACATCGTCAACGCAGACGGATTGCACCTGTTCTGCCGCTACTGGGAACCCACCGGTCAGCCAAGGTCAGTGAAACGGGAACTAAATGTGTGGCTGCGTTCACTCTCTGTGTGTCCCTTTGTTAGCCCATAATCTGTTGGTCTGCAGAGGAGTGTGCGGCTGTCATTTAAAATAAATTTTTTTAATTGTGTTCACATGATTGCTCTCCTGTGAGTCACATGATGACTTTTTGACGCTTAATTTTCAGACATGCGCGCAGTCCACTATTACAGAGTTTGTTCCGTTCAGTGTAAAACCGGCACCAGTGCAAACAGTTTGAGTTCATTTATTTGTATAAATGAGAAGTTCACTCAAGTTTCACTTTCAAACCGCCTCCCACAAGGAACTCTGCGACTGGTTAAACAAGTTCAAGAGCTCTCCAATCACAACTCGCCGTCTTCTACGCTAGTACAGGAAACCAGAATATGTACTTGCAGATGTGATATGAGGCCTAACATCGTCCGAAAAGCACCCAAGATTAAAAACAG